AATATATTTTACTTTGCTTATTATTTTGATCATAACTTTCTTGTAAAGTACTTTCCCCCCTGCTATTTCTCTTTCTTTTCCTTATTTTCTTGTAGTAATTATTAACCATATTTATCATATTACATAACACTAATCATATTCAATTTTCTTCAGACTCCCAAATACCATCTAAAATGTTGAGTTCACATACACACACACTTAAAAAAAAAATTATTGGAGTCCTTTCTCCCAGAGCCTGCCATTCTCTTAGTCCAATCTGGATTGATTGCCAATCAGCCCTTCTGCCGAGTTGGCATTCCTGTTATTTCCTGTCACTGTTCTCCTGGATTAGATCCACTGTGTTGTGGGTCCCACATCTTTTTTCTTGGCTTACACCCTTGTTTTGCTGGAGAACATCCTCGAGTAGCTTCCTAAGAAAGTATATTTGAGAGGTAAATTTTCTTAGTTCTTGCATATCTAAAAATATTTTATCCCATTGTCAGACTTGATGGGTATTTTGGCTGGTGTAGAATTCTAAATTGAAAATCATTTTCTCTTGGAATTTTGAAAGCATTGTCCTATTATTGTTTTTTAATTGTTGCTCTATTATTTTTTATCATCCAGTGTTGTTACAAAGTCTGATGCTATTTATTTTTATTCCTATTCCTTTTTCTGGGTTTTATCTTTCAAAAATTTTTGTTAGTTGCTTTCTGGACTTCCTAGATCACTCTTCATAGTCCTAATATTTTCTCTCATATTTTTTGTCTGTATTGTTTTGTTTTCTGGGAGACTTCTTTGGTTTTATCTTTCAATATTTCTATTGAATTTTGAACTTCAATAATCACATTTAATTTCCAGTAATTATTTCTTGTTCCCCAGGATTTCTACATTTCGGAATTTACTGAGATTGTTTTTTTGAGGGATCTATTTTATAAGCAACTTTAGGAAATGTTCCGTAGTGTTCGAAACAAATTTGTGGTTTTTATTTACTTATTTTTTTGTGGTATCACCTGGGATGTTCTAAAATTGTGGGCAGTCTGTTTTACCCTTCTCATAAAAATATATATTTTCTACTAGTTTAAGGGATTTTTAGACAGACGGAGAAGTTTGAACTCTATCTGCCATATCGATAAAATCTTTCTGGTTGTTGGTTTTCTGTCTTGGTTGCTTTCTCTACGACATTTTCCTGGTTTTTCTCTTCCACAGTCCCATTTTTTAAATGGCCCATTTTTTATTCACTAGTAAATACTTTAAACTCCAGTATATTTTTCTACTTTTCAATGGCAAGAGTGAAATTGTATCATTTAAGTCCTGTTTATTCAAACTAAGAGATTTAGCAAGACCCTCTCCATTGTTCCTTTTCTTTCAAAAATGCCTTGATTTCTAGTCTTGTACACTTACCCTTCCCAATCTAGCATTAACTTGTCACAGTCTATAAAAACTCCTGGATTTTGACTCAGGCAAATAATTTCCAGATTAATTTATGAAGAACTGATGTCTTTATTGTGTTTTTTAATATAGGTTTTTGGCATTTCTTATGAAGTTTATTCCCAACTGTTATATAATTTTTGTAGTTATAGTGAGTTGAATCTTTTTTTCCCCATTACTTTTCCCAGCTCTTTATACTGGATGGATCTCTATGTCTGCATCCTAACAACCAGGGAATCGAATTGGGATTAATTGGTCATTCTCCTCCCAGTGAACTCCAAGAATGAAGTTTAAAAGAGAATGGGGGCCGGCCGAGTGGCATGTTGATTAAGAGTTGGCTTGGGACGCCAGCTCTGAGCAACAGGGCCCCGGTTCGGATCCCACATGCAGGCCAGTGATGCTGTGCCCTCTACAGCTAAGATGGTGAACAACAGCTCGACCTGGAGCTGGGCTGCTGTGAATTGCTGGCTATGGCACAGGCTGCAGTGGGGCTGGCTGGCAGCTGGCATGCACTTTCATGAGCTGCAGTGAGCAGCAGTCCAATGGCCGATGAACGACTGCCTCACCCGGGAAGAGCGCAAGGATAATACCAACATGGGCCAGTGAAGCAACGTCCTCCACAACTAGACTGAAGAACAAAAGGACAGAAACTTGTCTGTTCCCCTTCCCCGATTCCCCAACACTGTTCCCCTCCCCCAATTCCCCAATAAAATCTTTTAAAAAAAGAGAGAGAATGGGAGGAGGTGCATACATGTGTTTTATTTTACACAAGTGATGTTGCACTGTAGATCTTGTTCTGTTTCTTGCTTTGTTTTCACTCCACACCATTAAATTTGATGTTTGTTCTAAGTTTTTTTTAATAGATACCTTTAATTAGATCAAGGAAGTTCCCTTCTATTCACAGTTCTCTATATTGTTGTTGTTGTTGTTTTATCATAAGTAGGTGTTGAATTTTATCAAATGCTTTTTCTGCATCTATTAAAATAATCATATAATTTGTTCCCCTTAAATCAGTTAAGGTTGATTTTCTAATTTTAAACCATCCTTGCATTCCTAGGATAAAACTCAACTTGGTTATGATATATTATTATATACTGCTGGATTCAGTTTATTTGTCTAGAATTTTTATACCTATTTCCACATCCTGTGTCATGCTTTCATTAGCTCGTTATAGTAGTTATATTAGTCTCATAAGTTTGGAGAGATTTCTTTATTTTCTGTTTATGATTGGAATTACCCACTCATTAAAGATTTGGTAGAACTCATCTGTAAAGCTCTCTGAGCGTGTTTTATTTGGGAGGGGGGATTTTTAAAATACATAGTAAATTTCTTTGTGGTTATAGGGGGGGTCTATCTAGGTTTTCTGTTTCTAGAGTCAGTTTTGGTAAGCTGTGCTTTTCTAGGAATTTATTCATTTTGCTTATATTTTCCAATTTACTGACATACAGTTGTTCATAATATCCTTTTAAAAATGTATCTGTTTTATCTACAATCTATTGTACAATCTATTCTATCCATAGGCTATGGCTCCTTTTCATTTCTATTATAATTGACTTGTGTCTTCACTCCTTCTATGTAGCTTGTTAGAGGGTTGGCTTTTGTTTTTCAGCTTGTCAAAGAATCAGCTTTTGATGTTCTCAGTCCTCTCTATCATTTGTTTCTGCTTCATCAATTTCTGTTATTGTTATTTTTCTTCTATTTTCTCCAGGTTTACTGTGTTGTTCCTTTTTTAGCTTCTTGAGTTTGATGTTCACCTTGTTGACTTGTTGACAGCGTGTTGACCCAAGCGCCTCCTCATCAGCTCCACTTGCACAGCTACTAGGCACTCCAAGCTTAACGTGGCCAAAACAGAATTCTCAATCTGCACCTTCAAAAATGTGCTTTTTCTACCGTTTTCCCAATCATGGTGAAAGGCACCCATTTACTAAGTTGCTCAGGCCAAAAATTCAGAAATCATACTTGTTTCTTTTCTGTCTTTATACCCTACAGCCTATCCTTTCTGCTTGATTTTGAAAATATGACTTGAATCTCACAACTTTTCAGAACCTCCACTGCTACCATCCTAGTTAAAGCCATTATCACCTCTCGCAGACTGTTGTCAGGACCTCAAGACCAGGGTCTTGCTCCTAGTTTTGTCCCAGCATGGGTAGTTCTCCACACTGCACCTACAACATAGATTTGATGATGTATGTCAGCTCCCAGTTCAAAATCCTCCAAGGGCTTCTCATCTCAGATTAAGTTCCCATTTCCCATAGTGGCTCCACCTCTCTCTAGCCACATAAACTTCCTTGTTAGTCCCTAACATGCCAGACATAGTCTTTCCTCAGGGCCTTTGAACGTGCCTGAAATGTTCTCTCCCCAGATATCCACATGGGAGAATAAATTGAGGACAAAAGCCTGTGGATATCTAAATAGCACCCATTCACCCTTGTTTTATCTATCTCAAAGACTTTATTACTATGTCTCAATATATTATATACTTATTTGTATGTTTAGTATGAATATTCCACACAAGAATATTAGTTTGCTGTCTTGTTCAGTACTGTGCATCCAGAGCCTGGAACAGTGCCTGGCACATAGCAGCTGTTTAATGAATTAATAGGGGGAGGGAGGAGAACCAAATCAGAATTAGCAGGTTCCTTGTTAATCATAGGCCTAGCACAAGGAATTAGAGGATGGCTGGAATCAGAGTAAGTTTGCCTTGACAAACTGTCTTGTCCTGAACATCCCATTGGCTAAAACTTTTCTCATACTCTTATTTTTTTTCAAAACAGAATTGCTGGATCTTAGCTCCCAAATCACCTCTTCTAGGAAATCTTCCATCTCCGCTACAGGTAGAGCTTAGTGCTGCTTCTTCTGTGCTTCCACTGCCTTCTTCACACCTCCACCAAACCATCTGATCCAACAATGACGAGTCTCATGCAGCCTTGTCATGTACCCTTTTCCCCCACCACAGTTTCACGAAGGCCAGAGCTGTGACTTGTTGTCAGTATGAAAGTCTGGCTCATGGCAGGCTCAGATGAAAGAATGCAATAGATAGGCCTCTTAAACCAAGGTCCTTCAGCTGGAACGTCAGGCTCCAGGGCAGGCAACTTTGCTGCTTCTACTGAAGGCGGTGGCAATGAGAAAATGCAGGTGCAGTGAAACACTTATTGCAGCGTACTTGGCATGTTTGTGGACAGCGCATCAACCGCGCGGGAGGGCCGCGCAAACCGGAGTCCGAAGCCTAGGCCTTCACTTGCCCCAGCATCCGCAAGGGCCCATTAATCCTTAATATTCAAATTCCTCCCACTAAACCAGCCCCTCAGTGCCCAAGCCGCCTCTTTTCCCCAAATGACGGCCGACGGCAGCCAATCGGCAGCTGGATAGGGGGTCCGCCCCCTTTTCCCTGGCCAGAATGGACACAAACTACCGCCAATTGGTGGCGTCGCCGCGGAGGACCCGCCCCACCCCGGTCGCAGCAGCCAATGGCAGGCGGGCTCGCGGCAGCGCCGAGGGCGGGACGCGGGCGCGCAGGTGCAGCTGCGCGCAGGCTGGCCGGGAGGGCGGGGCGCGACGTCGACCGTGCGGAGTCCCGGCGTCGGCGGCGCGCGCGCTCCCTCCTCTCGGAGAGAGGGCTGTGGTAAAAGCCGTCCGGAAAATGGCCGCCGCCGCCGCTGCCGCGCCAAGCGGAGGAGGAGGAGGAGGCGAGGAGGAGAGACTGTGAGTGGGGCCACCGCGGCCGCGGGCGGGGACCCTTGCCGAGGGGCGGGGGGTAGGGGCGGGACGTGGCGCGGGAGGGGCCCGCGGGGTCGGACGACACGGCTGGCGGATGGCGTCCCTCCTCTCTACCCTCCGTCACCCGCACTCGCGGGTGACCGTCCTCGCCCCGGCCTCCCAGGGCCACCTTCGCCTGGCGCCCCGCTCTCTCCCGCCTTCAGCGCGCATCCCGGCCCCCGGCCCCACGGGCGCCCCTGTCGCTGGGGCTTTGCTTGTCCGGGCTGCGCGCGCGTCGTGCCCTTATCGGGGCTTCGGGCCCGCGGCGCCGTCGCGCGCCCGCGGCCCCAGCCTGTCCCTGTATCGCGCTCTCCCCTCTCCCTCCCTCGCGCGCCCCCTCTCCCGTTACTCGGCCCCCCCATCGGCGCGCGTGCGCAGTCCGCCTCCCGTCGGGAGAGTGCGCCACAAGGGCTCCTGCGCTCTCACCCCCATCTTCAGGCTCTGCCTCCCCCTCCTTCTCGCCCATTCCGTGACTTTCTGCCCCCATTGCGAGCGAGTCGGTCCACCATCTCCTTTCCCATGTAGCAGGAACAAATAGGTGGGAATTATTGTCCACCCACTAAAGGGACTAGAGATTGTGTTCCTGGTCCCACAACTCATCCTAAAGAGGCTGTTCTAGTTCCTATCAGGAGCCGTGGATAGGGGACTGTTTGTCCGGCAGCACCTGAGGCTCTTCAGTGGGAGCGCGCCTCCAGGGTCTTTGGGGTTGCTGTGGCCTCAGAATATGAGCGTCCTCCCATCCTCCCCCCTTCGCCGGCGATCTTCCAGTTACATAAGTGGAGTGGGACACAGTATGTAACGGGCTCCCATAGTCCTGGAGTGCGTCCTGCTCAAGATCACCAGTACCATATGGGGCAAGTTCATCGCATCGCTGTGGTTCCTGTCAATTGTCCCTGAAAGTTTATTTCCATTTAAGTTTGGTTATGATCGAATCACCCAAACTGAAACTCAGGTGACTTTTCCGTGGTGTGGCAATGTGTGGTTTTGCACTGAAGACTTAAGGTCATTGTGAAGAGTCTAAAAAGAATGCTCTCAAAGAGAAGACTGTTTATGATATTGCTAAGTATGAACCCGAGAGGGGGAAGCTTGCTCTGGAATACCTCTGTGGCAGTCGCTTCTGTTGTGTGTTCCGTGTGGACTGGTCACAGCAGAAACGGGCTCAACCACAAAATTGATATTCCTGACTCATGGTCAGGCAGATGTGTGCTTCTGGTTATTTTTCCAGGAACAGGAACAGGCTCTGTGGAGCCATTCACATGTTGTGTCTGCTGTGTGGGATCAGTACCCCAAGATGATAGGATCAAATTCAGGGGGTGGTTAGTGATCCTGGAGCCATACCTACCGGCGTGTGATGATGCTAAGTATCTTAGACTTTGTAGGACTCTCACAAGTTGTAGGCATTTTGTTATACTAGAAAAATGAAGCATATTCGGATCTTGGTAGTAAAATTCACTGTTAATGGCAGTTATTACTCTAGAGGAGAAATTTGGGTTTCGTGGCTGGAATTTTCATCTAGACCTCAGTGATTGCAGTTAACAGTGAGATTGAGCTGACCTCTAGGGTCTTTCGAAATATGCTAGATCCTTATTAAAAAATACAGGGTCTGGATTTTTTAGGTCTTCTGGGAATTTTCCCCAGGGATTTAGGTGAAATGGGCTTATTTGTGGGCCCTTTAGGACTTTTACTTGAAATCCCAGTGGGAAGCCTAGGAAACACTTTTATTTTCTTACCCACACATGTCAGAACCTTAAAGGGCACAATCAATCTAGTAAGAAGTACAGTTGATTAAGTAAGTCACCACAGAGCACCCATTCGTAGCATGTCAGCTAAGTGGCCTATCACTGAGGCACATCCCGTCCAGAACACAGACGCAAGCCTCGCTTGAAAGAGATTCCAAGGTTTGTACGTCTGAATCTGAGATGTGACTGGACAAGGACTTTGCTTTGTTTTGCCGTCATTGGCAATGTGTTTGCCTCCTCAGATGCCCTCCGGCTAGCTGTTTGTCATACCCCTAGCCCGTTAAACAGCACAGGTAGCTTCCAGAGTATAGTTTATCTGCGAAGTTCCTGGTGGTATCTGAAGTAAGCATGTCCTAACAGCTTGACGAAACCTTCTGTGGCTTTTTTGCTCAAATTGGCCTATCACACCGTTCTGTTTCTTATTTTTACACATTTGCCTGGAATACTTTAAACCGAGAGTACCAGGTCTTTGTTTCACCTGACACAGCATGATGCTGTCAAACCATATTCCAACTTCTGGGCTGTTTGTGTATTGGGGGGGGGCAGAGGGTTAGAATACAGTTTTGCATTCTTTTTGCAATTTCTAGTCAGAGTCATCGTTTCCCTGCCTGCCCTGCCTCTTGAGTGGCTGGATCTAGTGGGGTGAGGAGGCAAGCTGTGGAGTTTGACAGCACAACTGGCTAGATGAGTCCCATATGATGTTGCCTCCACCCCAATACTCCTTCCCCCACGTGGAGATGGAATGAGAAACACTTTTCTTTAACTTAAAGAAGAGCAGAGTTAAAATTGTTAGTTCCTGTCTCAGGCCCTTTTCCACCGATAATGTACCTGCCTGGGACTATTTGCATGATAAATGATGTGTCCTAGAACCAGTAATCTTTTCTAAAGGCGAATATCAGTAGAAATCTTTTTTTTTAAACTTGGGAGACATTTATTTACTTTCCCATATCACCATTAATTGATCTTATATATCTCCTCAGGAAAACAGCACTATTGAATGACTATTAACAACATCCTGTGGAGAACTTCAATCTTTGGTCACAGCGTTAAGAGCGCCTGGTTTTGATATCAGTAGAAATCTTTTAATTGGCTAAGAGCAGCTTGTTGGAAGACTGCCTGTGTATCCATGAGGAGGAGACAATAACAGAAAATGTTTGACATTTGTAGTAACTAGTGTTTTAAACGCACGGGGGGTAAAAGAACAGTCCTAGACTGGCGCCGAGTTCCAGGGAGTGTGGCAGGACACCTGCTTGTTTTCATTGCCCTCTGCTATGGTGACATGCATGCAGACCAGCCTCATGTGGCCGACAGACAAACAACCTTTTTACTTAGGCAGAGTGTTATTGTCCCTCCAATGGAAGGACCTTGTCCTCGGTGCTTCTGTAACAGCCCTCTCCATGCAAACTGCCATTGTCACCACTGTGCTTCTACCTTGTTTTGGTTAGGACACACGTAAATGGGTTCCTCTTCCTTGGGCTCACTTACACAAAGGTTGTGCTCTTCTGCCGTTCTCTTGCAAGGAACCTTTACTTATTGAAAACTTGATTTGCATGCCATTACCTAAATACTTGGTTCTGCCACTTTGATGGTAGGTAGGTGTGTAGGGGATCTGAATGTAAATAGGAATTTGGGGGCAGGCAGGGCACCCCCACTCCTATATCAAGGGGAAGGGGGTGACCATTCCATTAGAGAATAAAGCCTTGGCCTTTATAGCTTTTTCAAGGCACACTTGTGTTGGGGTCTGCTGGCATATGTATGTGTCCTCACTATAGCTGTTTTGCTGTTACTGCAGAAGTCTGGACTCTCGGGAGCAAGCCTGAGGAAGCGGTCACTTGTCTTCCTTGCCTAAGAGCTGGGGGTGTTGTATATATGGACCTGATAATCACTGCTTTATTGGGTTTTCACCTAACTGCTCTCTTTTGCTGGCTCTTTTACTTCTCCATGAATTCTTTTTTTTTTTTTTTAAGAAATGTTATTGGGGAACAGTGTGTTTTCCCAGGACCCATCAGCTCCAAGTCAAGCAGTTGTCTCCAATCTAATTGTGGAGGGCGCAGCTCCCTGGCCCATGTGGGAATCGAACCAGCAACCTTGGCGCTATGAGCCTGCACTCTAACCACCTGAGCTAACTGGCCGCCCCCTCCATGAACTCTTGAGCTAATCAAAGATCTTAAACTTTCAGAGTTGGAAGGAACCTTAGTCCAGCTCCCTCAGTTTACAAGTAAAAAGAAATTTTGGCTATGAAAAATTGTGGCTTTTCCAGGGCCTTCCAGCCACTTTGATTTTTATTATCTAGCTAACTGAGTAGTACTGTTACCCTGACTTTGGGATTTCAAAGCATTCTGACTCGACTATTTAATGGAATTATAAGGCCTCACTGCACCTCAATAGATAATTTTAGGAACTATCCTAGTAGTTACAGACCAGCCGTAAATAAGTAAAAGACTTGGTTGGTGTTGCCCTTCCTCTGAGTTTGATTACACAAGTCATTATTTGTGTGAATAGTCTCTAAGTTGTACACGCTAGGCTTTTTTTTAGTCTAAAGATAAAAGTGCTACTCTTGGGCCAGCAAGGTATTAGAAATTAGCTAATATAGGCCAGATTAGGTTTTAGCAAGGAAATAGTGGTTATCTTAATGATGAAAAACATCATGACAAAAGTGGTTTTTGAATATGTATTCAAAAGCAAAAGAGAAACTATCAGATTAATAAGTCAGTGTGTTGAACATTGCGACTTACTGATCTGAGAGGCTTAAAAGTTATTGCTCTGAGACAGACTTTTGGCGGATGGCTTTGGATCTCCCAGGGCACTTGGTTTCCGTTGGTTCTGCTTCTTTCTCTCAGGGTTAAAGCCCCTTTACATGAGCTTATAGCAGCTCATTGCAGCTTCAACTGCTTGAAAAAGAAGGGAGACTTTGCCTCTGGGTTTAACATGTTCTTTTTAGGGTGACATTTTAATGCTGCATGTTCTCTTGAACATGTATTCTCTCCCCAAGTATTTCTGTATGACATGGTACAAGAAATACTTGCCAGAGATCACCACTAACAGTATGCTTTATAGTGTCAAAGTGTCCTTCAGAGGAGACAACACATGTGATAGTGTCAATTCTAACATGCATGAATCTTTCCTTTATTTTAGCACTGTGTGTTATGTGCCAGTAATTTGCAGTTTATCCTTTGTTTCTAGCTAGGTAAGCCGGGAAATAGCATAGTACTTTGTCTATATGTTTATCTTCAAAATGTCCCAAATAGTCCTGGGAAAAAGGTCGTGCAGCACGATGGGGGCTTTCAACTTACGATTTTCTTTGTTTTAGGCTCCATAAAAATACAGACTCACCAGTTCCTGCTTTGATGTGACATGTGACTCCCCAGAATACATCTTGCTTCTGTAGACCAGCTCCAACAGGATTCCATGGTAGCTGGAATGTTAGGGCTCAGGTAAGTAACCTTCCTTTTTTTTTTTTTAGTATATGTCCTGGTTTGGCCATCTGTTTTTAAAAAAAATAATAAATAAATATAAAAAAAAGGAAAAATACAAGATATACTACTCTTGGACAGTATAAAAGTACCCCAAAGACTAAAGACATAACTGTGCCAAACTGTGCCATATAATAAAAAAAAGTCACTTCCCTGAGCCCTGAAAGGTCAGTTTGGGTAGGGTTACTTGGTAGCCACAGCGTGATCTGGGGGCGGGCGTCAGATTAGAGCCGGAACTGGTGATCTGCAACTTCAGTTCACCTTGAAGCAGGTCAGCTGAGCTGAGAGTGCTTTGACTGAGCTCTTCACCTGCCGCTGCTGCTGTTGCCCAGTGGTCTTCAGCGTAGTGCTTTTTTGTTTGCTTTGGTTTTGGGTAAATGACTTCCTGGTCAACGTTAGTGAGCAGTGGTAATGTATTTTCAGATATGAGAATTGGTGTGTGGTCCCCTAGAACGATGACCTCCTGAAAGCTGTCATAGAACAGCGGAGCCCATGGCTAATGGGATGTGCTTGCTGCACTCCTCCCTCGGGAACTAAAGAGAGCAGCACCCAGACGCACGTCTGGCTCTTGAGACTCTTAGAGCAGAATGAATGCCTTTTGAAAAGCTGGGGATCCAAGCCATTCGAGGTCTGACACTCAGATGCTTTATCAGCCACACTTTTGGCTACTTTGGTGCCATTGTGTGGACTTTAATTTTGTGGACTTAATTTCTCAACTGTCAGGCTCAATAGCTCAAGCTTCTAATAAATCAGTGGTCACTCCACATTTACTATTTTGACATCTGGATTTTCAAACATTCCATGTGTTAAGGCAGAACATTCTAATTGAATTTTTCCATTTCTTTTCCTAAGAAAAAATGTGAGTTTACACATATGCTGCCATTGTGATTCCAGCTGAGACTCCCAAGTAGCACTTTGTTGTGTCTCTCTAGTGGTTTCTGACACCTCAGTCTAAAACTGTGTGGACATCCATAACAGATAGCTCATTTAGGGACTATGTGAAGGGCAGGGTTTGGGCGGAGGAGAATAAAAGGTGTGGACGGAAGGGAGGAGCATCACACTGCCTCCAAGTCCCAAATTTGGTTTCACTCGTGATCCTGTGACTCAAGTTGTCATTCCCTTTTGCTGCGGGATGTGCCCTGGGCCCTGCTGACAGGACGTTCTTTGTATGCCAAGTATTTATGCTGGTGGGAGTTGTGTGGCTGGCGCTTTGTGCATTGTCTCAGAAATTGTGTGGACTAAATGTAATATGGACAGTGAATGGGTTTCTTCTGGTAGATAGTAGGCCTGGGGGGTGGTTAATGTTTTTAATAGTCTTTTTCTAAGATCACAAATGGATTTTATAAAACAGGCAGTGATGACTCTATGCAATTTCTTCTAAGAAATACAGAAAAGAAGAGATGTTTTTAAACATACCTCTTTATTATTTATGAATGGGAAAGACATGGCTATCTGAGCTTCAAGGAACTTTGCAGGGAATTCTCAATGGACAGAACCTGTCTTTAGTAGATAAGTGCTTGTATTTTACTATTTTTCTTCTTTTCCTTTCTAAGAAATTATAAAAATAATATATGCTTTTATGGGAAATTCAAACCTTTTTAAAGTATATCAAGTAAAAAAAATGAAAGCTCCCTGTTACTCTCTGCGCCTACTACCCAGAGTAACCACTGTTAGTTAATAACGTAAAGTCTTCCAAGTCTTCTCAGGCAATACAAATATGCACCTTTTGTATTTTTAACAAAACAAGGATAGTATTATACATATTCAGCATCTATCCATATGGTACATTTCTCTATGCTTCATTTCTGTTAAATAGCAGCATGGTCTGGTGCCGACTTACTGTCATGCATTGCCCCCCTATTGATTTTCCCAGTGGTTCGCTATTAAAAGATTCTACTGGATTGAACATCCTCATGTGCCTGCCAGTCTTTTGGAAGAATGGCTGCCTAGACTTGGAGTGTCTGGCGGGTGCCACCAACATTGCCTTCCAAAATAGCTATCCCAGTTCCCACGATACTCTGAGAAAGCGCCTCTTCCCCGTACCCTCCCAGAATTGGATAACCATCTTTTAAATGTGTGCTCCTTGGGCTATTACTGAGACTAAACCTCAGCATAAATACGTGGCGTACAACCCTCAGTCATTGGCCATTTGTATTCCATCTTTGCCAATTGCTTCTTCATGTTCTGCATTCATTCTTCTGTCAGGGTATTTTTAAGTGGATTTGTAAGAACTCTTAATGTCTGTCGTCATGCAGATGTTTTTCCTACTTTGTCTTATATCTTTTGATTTTGCTTGTCTTTTTGATACATAAAATTTTTTATGATTTCTTCTTTTGCTTTTATACTTAGAAAATTCTTTCCTACTCTAAGAACACGTCAACATTCATTCATATTTTATTTTTTCCTAAAAAACTTGATATACTGTATTCATACATACATATTTGATACATACAAAAGGATCTTATAGGTAAGTTATCCTATTTTTTGTGTGGTTTTTAAAAAGTACCTGTGTTTGTATTTAACTTTAGGATGGGATGAAGTCTAGCTCCCACTTAGCCAGTTGTGTCATAGCTATTTGGTGAATCTTTATCATGTACTGACTTCAAATGAACAAAGCATCTCTTCTGTCTTTCTGCATTTTTTCTTTGTGAGGCTTGATGGCAAGCCTGTTAGCAGATAATCATTTATTCATTGATCCAACAAATATTCGAGCCAGGGGTGGTGCTGGGCCCTGCAAGTACTGTCTTCTCCTTGACTGGGGGCAGTGCTACAGAAGTTGAGGTGCCAGTGGCATAGCTACAGTGCTCATTCTGGAAGACTCAAGAAAATAGTGTTTTTTCAATAGTGTTTTACAAAAGTAGGTTTTAGATAAACTAGGAGGAATCCAGAGGGGGGGGTGTGTGTGTAATTCTGACATATAAGTTAGAGCTTTAGGGTGGGCTGCAACATAAAGCATAGTTTGTTTTATACCTCATGTAATTGCAGGCTGACTTTTGTCTTGAATTATGCTGAGGGCTTTTTGCTGTAGAAACAGTTCTATATTCAGCTAGCTTGGTTGTTATGATAGAATAAAAGTTGTGTACTGATAAAGATGGTAATTTTCTTCTATGATGATTTTGAAGCTTTTCTGTAAAAGCTGATAAAAATAAAGACAGGCTTTTAGTTAATATATTCTTAGGGGAACAAGTGTAATTTTTTACAACTTGCATCATTTAAGTCTAATAAATACCCTCAAAACTGAAGTGGAATCCTGATTTGGATTGAAAATATTTTTTACTTAAAGAAAGGATATAAATGACTTGTGATTAAGGAAAAGGCTCCTTTTATAGGCTGGGGTGTTTTTTTTAATGATTTTTTGAATAGTTAGATATGTAGTACAGAATGAAAAAGGTGGTATAAAAGGTTTAATGGTAAAAGATCTTGCCACCCTGTCCCCAGATATGTCTCCCTGGAGGCAGCCATCATTACCAGTTTCTTTGTGTGTGTGTGTGATTTTTAAATTGTGATAAAATATACATAACATCAAATTTACCATTTTAGCCATTTTAAGTGTACAATTTAACGGCATTAAATACATTCTCATTGTTGTGTAGCCATCACCACTATGCATCTCCAGAAACCTTTTCATCTTGCAAAAGTGAAACTGTCTCCATTAAACCATAACTCCATTCCTCCCTCCTCCCCCAGCCCTGGCAATCACCCTTCTACTTTCTGTCTCTGAAATGGACTATTCTAGATACCTCATATGATTATATATTTTTATATGTGTGTTTATGTACATATATATGTATGTATGCAAAAACAAGGGTGTGTGTGTGTGTACTCCAAGAATAAAATACTGTGCACATTTGCAAAGTTTGCTCTTTTTAGTCAATGTATCAGATATCAGTTCCTATCGAGCTATATTATTATTCTTAAGGGTTGGGTTAGTAGTCCATTATGTGGATGCACTGTAATTTAACCAGTTTTCTATTGAGGGATATTTATGTTTCCCGTGTTTTTAATTTCATTAATGCTGTGGTGAATAGTCTTTTATATATACCATTTTGCTCACAGCCAACATTATCTGTAGGAGAAATTCCTAAAGATGGGACATGCTGGGTCAAAATTTTGGTAGACACTGCTAAATCAAGGGTGGCCTTTTAATTGCACAGTTTTAAAGGAAAGACTACATATGAGTCGATAAGCATACACATTTATGACTGCAAGGCTATTTGTAGAGATTAGAGAGCTGTTAATTAGGCTAGGAAGACATAGTTTTTAGCAGTTAGCGCTGGAAAGCAAAACTTCAGAAGCTTCCATTTCATCAGACGTGCCCTCGTGTGAGCAGAACCTGTGCGGCAGGACCCCTTAGTTGGCAAGAGGGAATTCGGCCAGTTCTCCTTTGTGAATCTTGAAGAAAATGGAGCATTTTTAGTTTGCTACTGTTGCAAGTTTCAGTGGATTCAGGTTTGAAGAGTTGTCTCTGGCTGCAGGACCTTCCGTCTCATTTGAATTGTAATATGCATAAAGAATATTATCCTGGAGTGTTCAGGACCAGATTGCTACTGCTTCATTTCTCTTTCACTGTTGTACTCTTCATATAGCAAGACTTGATTCATTTACCCTATACTAATTGAGCATCTATTAGGTGTTAGTTACTGTCCTAGATGCTAGGGACTGTCCCTCCTTTCAGAGATCTTCTGGTCTAAAGGAGGATCCAGACAGGCAAACATGCCATTTCTTTGCAAGCGGCTAGATGCTACGATGGAGAAATACTGGCCACTGAGGGAGCACATAGATGTCAGAGGGGTCCCACCTAGATGTGGAGGTGGGGTCAGGAAAGACACTTCTTTGAAAAGTGACCCCCAAGACCTGAACGGTAAGGCAACATTAGCTAGTCCCAGAAAAAGTATGAGTGGAGGAGAGACCAGCACATATGGAGGCTTGGATAAGAAGAAAGCTTGTTTGACTGGGCAGAG